TACTCATGAAATATGATAGAACTCTCGTTGTTAGTTCAGTTTCCTTTTTTTTTCAGTTTTCATGCTTTGAAGTTTTATATTCCAGCATGACGTCATTTTTAAAGTCATGAAAGGGGTGAACGATAATTATGACAAGCTTATAATATGCTATTTTTGGATAAAGCTTCTCATCGTTTGCTAACAGTTGAAGAAGTTTGAATGGTAAGTTCTTTCGTATTTTTGATTTCAATTTCTTAATTGACATATGAGAAAATTCAACGTATGGAGTACCTGATTTAGACATCCTATTTATAGTTTAACTTTTACTTTCACATTGTTTCCATTTCTTCAAGATTATGGTGCTAATATATTGCATTGTATTAAACATGAAGGTACTATTCCTTTTTAAGCAGCAAAGGTAAGAGGAAGAGAGAATATTTTGTTCTATTAGAAGATCATTCTCTTACATTTCATCTAAAAATTCAAGAAAAAAGAATGGCAATTTATATTTGGTAATAATGATGAATAATTTTCCTATTAAGAGAATGACATAGTTTGACATAGTAGAGGATGACAGATGACGTAGTTTTTGCTCTTTCTTGCTATTGATCTTTTTCTACAAAGATTGATTTCTCCAATAGATCACTGATTATGAAACATCTTATTGTCCTTTCAGTTTCTTTTTTTTTTTCAGATTTACAAGCAATACTATGTTCTGGTTAATAGTTGTCAACATTCTTTGTGTAATAATTGGCTACAATTTTTGGCATCTCTATCCAAGAAAGAAATCGAACATAATGAAAGAAGGGTGGCATACTTCAAAACATGATGAAAATTTAACTGAGCAGGAATATAAGCAGGAATAAATAGCTACTACATGCAACCATCCCAGTGAATGAGTTATTCTGGAATTCGAATCTGGTTTTTACTGATATTGATTGTAGATTAGTTACGGTGAAAAGGCACCAGAATTGGAGTGTAAGACTTTTTTATTTATTCCTATTGATTGGCATGATTTATTTTGATTTTATATGAAAAGATGTTTTTCTTGGAAGTGTGAAATTTCAATTTTTGAGCATCATTTGTGTTGATTTAGCATGTTATAAAACATTTACGAACCTATATTTAATATTTTTTTTCCGTTTTATAAATTTATTTATGGAGGCATTAAAGATATTGTAGTTGCGGAATAACTTGCTACAAATGAAATCTTAGTTGCGGAATAACTTGCTACAAATGAAATCTTAGTTGCGGAATAACTTGCTACAAATGAAATCTTAGTTGCGGAATAACTTGCTACAAATGAAATCTTAGTTGCGGAATAACTTGCTACAAATGAAATCTTAGTTGCGGAATAACTTGCTACAAATGAAATCTTAGTTGCGGAATAACTTGCTACAAATGAAATCTTAGTTGCG